TCCTTAGTTACCTTGACTTACCCTAAAATTCCGGTTATTTCTCGATATAGTCAGTAAGCGTCAAAATCGTCGCTAGTTCTGATTGGGCCATCTGTATAGGGGCCCCGCCAATTTCCTTATTTAGTGCTCGTACGTAGTAAGTTTGAGAACTTTGACACAAGCGTTTATCGTACAAACATTTGGACTATCCACTCAAAATCCGCTGAGCTGAGTATGAAAAAAACCCGATAAAACCGCTAAAATTAAAGTAATTTAATGCAAGACAGAGGGTGACGACCTTTTGTAAACAATGGCACCAAAATTTTGCGCTAAAAGGTGTAGGTAATTGATACCCTTAAAAACCTTTGACAAGGATATCTTTTTACACCAAAAAAAGTTCTGCGTTACAGCAAGACAATTTCTTTTTTAATTCTGAGAAAGCTTCTGGGCGTAATTGCAAAAATATTAACGAACTAATTATAGGACATAAAGCAAAAGCAATCCATACATTTTCATCTCATCTATCACACTAGTCAATATTAATATTATGGTGCTTTACACGCGCTGCGTAACGCATGCGTTGGGACAATACGAATTTTGACTTTATTATCATACAAATAAGGTTGTTGTCAAATTGTTTGACAAACGCTTCCGTCGACGCAGCGTTGTGCGATATCTTTGCGCAAACTGATGCGTCTCTCAAACCGTTTCACATAATCCGTATTTTTATGGAAATAAGGTGGATAATCGTATTTTACAATCACAACTGATAGCGCTGCGAAAAATAACGCACAAACGGTTATGTTTGTAAAGCGCCTATCATCATTTGCTAATATAATGACCGATCCGCCCTTAAGATCCAACCTATTATTTCATAGGATAGTAGCCTCTTTATTTTATTCTATTCGGTATTTCCGATTACCATTTATTACAATCAGTCCAAAACTTGACGGTATTTATATTATTATAACGATCAACATAAACATAAAGATCACATAAAGTTTAATATTGTAAGAAATACAATTCTCATTTAAATAATAAGCCACTTTGTCAAATATTTATGATTTAAATCCGTTCAGTATTAAAAACTTGTTTTGGGCTTAAAATTCTACTATCAAACCGCGTGGTAGAGGCATAAAACCCTGTGGTAGTGGCTAAGAATATTGCCAACCCTAGTCTACTCAGGGCGTTTCATAAATGGCGATGTAGAGTTTTTAACTTTGGCTGAATATCTCGACTTAGTCAATCGGATTGTGGCGATGATACCACCTACAAATATACCAACCAAAGAGGGTTAACGTCAGGCAGTTCATAAAAAAATGCTAAATCTTTTTCCTACACGATTTTATGCTCTAACAAAACAGTAAGTACCTACCTACTATTTTGCATTTAAAAACGGATACAAAACATTTGCAATTCTGTTACAAGTCATTCTATTTTCAAAAATAAGTATGTAACACTGGCAGTGATTGACGTGATGACGCCAGCAGTGACGTACGCTAACGCCATTTTTTTGTACTGACTGGCGCAATTTTACACGAAATGTTGACGGGAGTTTGTAGCATTCTATAAAGTTCAAAATGGTTATATCTTTGGTTTTATCACAAAATAGAGAGTTTATAGAAGAATCACTCGACACTTTTTTGAATTTTCGCGATTGTTACTTACGTAGCCAGGGTTGCTAGATTCAATACGAGGACTAAATACAGCAAATTCTGATACATGAACGTCATAATGATTTCAATGCAAGAAATATGATGTTCGTGGCTACCATCTTCTTAGTTACCGCGAGTTCCTCGCGCCTTCTCCCTAATTTGTGGTTTTAATATTATGTCTTCTTTTTAACTTAACATGAATATTTAGTAATATTATGTACCTAACTGAAAAAAAAAAACAAAGTAAATGTGAAGCCACAAAAAAATATGCATTTAACCATACTTAGTACATAAAAAGATCTTATAAAATAAAATGTTCACTATTATTTACCTTATTGAGTATACCTATACATTGTCACATAAATGGTTATGATCTGTGGTCCCCCGAAACCATATCAAAAGAAAAGCCTGTTTCAAACCCCCGATCTACTAACATATTTACCGACATCCAAAGAAATGTCAAAGATTACAAATAAGCCCGGCTTCCCCGCAGAAGCTCCACAATCTCCCTCCATTCATATTTCACAATGGCTCTCTCAGGCTGATCCGTTGGAGGAAACACAAATATTGTCGTAGCTCAGTGTGATTTGTTTAATTTGACACTGGCGTCGCACTGTCTGCCGCGGCACAGATTAAGCAGCGCAGAAGTGACTGTAGGTAAAATTAACAATGATACCACAAAGTAAGTATTGGCTAGCTGATGATACTGTCATGCTTGTGGTCTCGAAACGTTCGAAAGATTATTTAAAATTATTCTTGTACAGTAGAGTAAATGGGCAATAATAATAAAAAAAACAGACTTGAAATATCTATCATCGGTAATTTTTCTGCATCAGGTTTCAGCTTTATCGCCGAATTGCCTCAAAATAGGTCAAGAGCCAATCCATAATAATTATAATAATCTAAAATTACTGATCGTAGATTGTAAGTGAACCCACACTGCGACAAAGTTGCGGGCACCAGCAAGTATTAGCTAAATAGGCTCAGTGTAACATTTTGTGTCTCAGGCATGTTATGTATCACAACAACGCCTCGATTACCCAGAACATAACCATCTTGAAGACTCGACAGTTTCACGCGCTCATAATCTTTTATGACCACAATAAATAAATCCAAACATGGCAGCCACAATGTTAAAATATTCATGACATGGCGCTAAGCCAAAAAATCTCACTCACATTAACCATATGTATGACCTGTCTGCCGTTTAATCTATGACCTTACTAGCTTAAGAGGCAGTGACATGTCAATATTCCGAAAAGGTTTTGCAAAGAAAATGAATTGTGTTTTCAGAATATGGGCATAATAAAGGCGACTTTTGTTTGATGAACCTTTGTGTTTGAACGTTTAAGAATTGGTTTCGTATAGGAGCAGTGATAGTAAAAAAGTTATTTTGATACTTTCTTGCAGTTTGGCAAGGTTTTAGCAAATAGAAACAACTCTGGCAACATTTGTACGTGTTTTCTTATTGCTTGGTTTGGCACACATTATCGATTACAATTACAGCAACGGAGTGCAGATGTCAAACTTTCACCTAAATAAGTACCTACAGTCCATTATTCAGCCACATACTTAGGTACATACAGTGGCTCAATGACCCAAAGAGGATATTGGCCTCCGACACATATTAAGCTAAGACTATATTCTAAAAAAAAATACACTTTCTTAAGAAAATCATATGTATTTGTTTTATTGTCACTACCTCCCTACCTATACAGACTGCGGGTCGGAGATAAGCTACCCAAATAGAGAGGTAATCCGGCGCTAGTTTTATGGCTTTATTGCTTAGCGGGTAAACGACCTACTGCATTCGGCCGGGTTGCATTTGTATGCGCTTCTATCTACGCTTTTGTTCGGGGTGAATAATTTACTTACTCCGCTTTTACGCTGACTGTTTTGGAGACTTCTTCTTCCGTCTTATTTCTCACTTTCTTTTCTATATTTGGTATGACAGTAATGCAGGGGGTGGTTGGCTGTGGGTTGGCTGGATGCTGGGGTGGATGAAAATAGCGTTGAGATACTGTCAGCTTGCCTGTTTTATAACACAGCTAATCCAAAAGCAACTTACGGTAGTATTTGCATGAAACACCAGCGAAATTTGGGCAGGTTGATTTGCAGATGATATACGAGGTTCTCAACTTCGCATGCTGATGTAATATCAATTAGAATTTTTAGAGCTACGAATCTCAATACTCCATTTAATCAAGTAGGAACTAAAATACTATAAAATGCGTTACCTAAGTAATTAAAAATGAAATCCCGTGACAAATTATAAACTCCGCTCGGCCTTTCAGAAGCCGCAAGTGAAAATCGAATCTGTCATCTGCAGCCAAGGTACTGCTGACCCAGCAACATAATTATGTTTCAGACTTGTTCATAACCGGGTGCTATGAAGGTATAGGGTATAATATGGTATAGGTATGTCTCAGTAAATCCGTCAAACACGGAAATTCGCGTAATTCCTAGAGGCAATATGCGATTTTCTCGTAACGGTTGATGATCAGGATCACTTGTCTGACGGATGTCATCTTACGTCTCGCGTCGCGCGTCTCATCTGTGAAGATAGCCCCCTTACTGTACTACCATAGCAGCCAACTCCACTCCATAGGCCTTGCCATACTCACCACGCTTGGCAGGCAGATTGGCGAGCGCAGAGCAAGATGATGCATTTACAGGAACGCTGCTGCCCATTCCCTGGATGATTATCCCATAGTCGATTTTTCGACACCAACGGGTAGAAATGGGGTGATGCTATTTAAAGCCGACATCACACGGCTGTACTTACTACACCTAATCCTAAAACGCCAATGTTAGCGGTCCACTTATTCGAGGCAATATTTTCTTGAAAATTCCCTCCTTAAACCGACTTTAGCAGTAGATTTTCACAATTTTAAAGGATATATTATCCCGGGGAAGATACGTAGTGGCACTATCAGGAGAAGAAAATTTATTCCGTCGCCTTTTCTGCTAAGTTTAAGAGGCAGTGAATTACACTTTTTTTGCCACTACTAGTACCTACTATTCTTCAGACGGGTGATCTTTCTCTCCCTTCGTGTGGAACACCGAGACGTTCAACGACCCGATGAACCCTGGTGACAGAGTTTTTTAACCGCCTACTGCAAGAAGCAGGCCTCTGACATGGTTGTGTAACGAACGCCATCATGGACAGCAACCGGGACCGACGGCTTAACGAAGCAAGGAACCATCTTGCTTTTCCAACAATCAGATGTCCTAAGCTGACAGAAAACAAATTCAAAAAGTGATAAATGATGATAAAAAAGTAATAAATGACCAATTTTGGTCGTGGCGACCACTTCTATTCTACCTACTTCTAATAATCGGGGTGAGAAGTATTAACTTTGTGAGTGACCCACCGGGGTTGAACCCGGAACCTTCTGCATCAAAGGCAGTCGTACTAACCACTGCGCTATATCGGCTGCTACTACTAGTATTATTCTTCTAGCTAGTATTGTTCAAATGAATTACTCGTAACAGCTATCTGCTCTTACAGCCAGTGATTTGAACAAAAGGATAAAGAGTTTAAAAATGCCAGAATACTGATATTTTGCAAGTTTTTAACTCTCGCCTGTTTCTTCCAAATATATTTTAACTTGTAAGGATTACAGGCATTGGTTGGATTCAAGTCTTCCCAAAAAGTTTGTCTATGAAGGCGCCTGAAGTACAAAATAGAGAGTATACAAAAATGACAATCGATCACTGTTTAGGATTTTTGCGATCCTCACTCGTTACATTTCCAGGGATGCGACCTTCAAAATCTTAATGTATCCTATCCTACTAATATTAATAAAGGCGGATGTTTGTGTGTGTGTTTGTTACGACATCACGCTAAATCGGCTAATTAGATTGACATGAAATTTTGCACAAATATAGAAGAGTATCTAGAATAACACATAGGCTACTTTTTACCACGGAAAATGTCTTATTCCTACGGATCACGCATATCGCTCATCCGCAGGAACAACGGCACAAATGACATAAACCACATTTTACAGGAGAGCGTTTTAAAGTTATAATTTTTTTTGTTATCGAATACCGACTATGTATTGCAAATTGTCGGTGTCGTAATGCGGTTTATATCACTCTCCTAATGTTAAACTATTTATAAATACTATTATCCGGCGTCCAAAGAATCTTAAATGTCCAAAATTAACGTGAAACCATGGTGACAACCTGCAATTGTGCCATTTTACTACTAGAATTTTTCTTTTTGTGTAGTTGTGACAGCCTGGACGTTTGAAAGGGTAATGAAAATCTGTCAATATAACCCACCCATGACGCCCATGAATCGATCTGCTCCCAAACTGGAGCCACCAGTACGTCGAGCTAAAGAAGAAGCTTGGTCATGCGCCAAACGTGCGGCCCTAAGGGCCCACAGGGTTCCAATTCCTGGTGCAAGACGAACAGGAATTCCGCGTTTACCAGCGCTACCATACCGCGCTGGAAGGCTCCGGAACCAGAATATCCTGTTGTTCGCCTACGCAACGCACTTCCGAAGTCGCGATTAGAGACCTCCCGTGGACACAGACCCGGAGGGCGTTCAGAAGGAGATGACCACCCTGGGCTAGGAGGTGGACGCCCAAGGTGTATCTGCTTCGCCTAGCTCATCCGCACGCCAAACCTCATCCCGGGCATCTACAACGTCATAGAGCTGTGTAACGTCCGGCGTGAAGATTGAGGGATGGCGTAGAATACAAGGAATCCCACAGAGCCATCGATGCCAGAAATTCCGGCACAGCAACAAGCACTGCCACTGCTAGCTAACGTGCGTGATCTGCGGCGACGAGCACCCCGCCCGGAAATGCCGAAGACATCGTAAAGAGCCGGCCACATGCGCAAACTGTGGCGGCTCGCACTCGGCCAACAGTCTCGATTGCCCCGTACTGGGCACAGCGCCTCTTACGAAGCCCGTCGAACTGAAGAGGACAGAGGCGGCACCGTAAGGGGAAACCAACGCGGCTGGATCCCTTATGGCGGCTGCCAGCACCCCTCCGGAACTACGTCGACGAAGAAGCGGAAGCCTAGGAGGCGGAGGAGGCGAACATCGCCCTTGCCCCCCAGGACGTGGAAGAAGCGGGTCAGCCATGTGAAGAGCCACCCACGGGTTCGTTGGATGCAGTACATCTCAGGGGGAGAAGCCGAAGCACTAACCGGCCCCAAGACAAGAGAGCTTACGAGCAGCCGTCCTAGAAGAGAACAGAAAGGTCCTGAACAGTGCAATCAGGACCCCTCGGGGCAGACGCGACCTTTATCGTCGACAAGAGCCTCCAGCGCCTGATCCCGTTATACGGCGGGGTGATGGCCACCAGGGGCGAACTGGAGGCTCTGGGACCCAGATAGACTGCACAGGGTGGTGCTGTCCAGCCCAGCCTGACGTAATCATCAGCTTTCCACATCCACTACTCCACGTGGGCACACTCCCAAAGATGCCCGGCTACCGCCGCTTACTGGATATGACCGCTGCCTCGGGACCCCCTCGCGAGGAGGATGAGGCAGCCATACACCGGACGTGACTCACTAGATGTAATGAGCCGCCGCTGGCTGACGGGCACTAGCTGGGCCTCCCCCAATTGGGAATCACCCGGCTGGTACGACCTCGGAACCTCGCATGAATGTTGTTTATTACTCTTAAAATTATTGTGAATTTGGGGTAAGACCGACAGATCCCATTTAAAATTAATAAGAGTTTTGGTGAAACAATGGCACAAAAAACAATTATGCCGATATCCCACTTAAAATTTATTAAATTTTTGGTGAAACAATGGCACAAAGAACAATTGGGCACAAAAATTTCAATGAATTTTATGTCACAATTACCTAAGTGCCGATCTGGCTCCTGAACACGGTGCGCACTCCGCGGGGCTCCCCGCATAACTGGTGATGTGACATTTTACCTCCTAAGGTGGCCGAAATTTTGCATCAAAGCAACATCGGCACAGTGCCATCTAGCGGTAACTACTGCAAATACAAAAGTGCCGTCTTTGCAGCGAATGTATTTATACTCAAGGGTACTTATGCCATCAAAAACTCGATTTTGGAAAAAATGCAATTGTGCCGTTGTTCCTGCGGATGAGCGATATTCCAATATTTTTGCAAAGGTGGCGTGACTGAGCCGATTCGCGTTTTAAAAGTTTTCGCCGAAAACTAACAGCGACATATCTTGGCGAGTAATGCTTTTTTCCCGCAGAATAATAGGTTGCAGCGGGTGAAACCGCTGACGGGCAGCTAGTAAGAATATAAAAAAAGGAAAATCTATCAAGAACGTCATAATATGATTCTTGCGAATTTTAATCCAAGAAATATGACGTTCGTGTTATCATCTTCTTAGTTAACTTGGGTTCCCCTGAGATTCCAGTTATTTCCAGTTAGTCAGTAAACGTCAAAAACGTCGCTAGTACTGAGTGAGCCATCTATACCGGGAGTAACCGAAAGGGTATAACAAGTCGAAAGGAGGCCAAGGTACTCATGCAACTGAATAACGTTCCCCATAGAACATGGGTCGAAATGTGAGAAAAAAATTTGACCTCCCATACAAAATCGCCGATCAGCTGACTGATTTACTATCAGAAGCCCATTTTTTTTTTCATATTTCGATCCATGTTCCATGGGAAAAGTTGTCCAGTTTCATGAGTACCATGACCTCTTTTCCGCTTGTTACACCCTTTTTGTTACTCCTCGTGCGCGCCCTCTCCCTAATTTGTGCCTCAAGGTGGTTTTTCGATGCATTTGTATGAGACAAAATGTAGGTTTTGCTTATGAGTACTTACACTTTTAATTTAAGGCGCAAAAATTACTTTTCGATAACCTTCTTTGTACTTTCCAAGCATTCCTTTATGTCTGAACTCATACACGCTACCTAGATCACATACCTACACCTAGGGATGCAACGATTATCAGAATTTGATAAATATCGACGATCACCGACATCGATATTAATACCGACATCTAAAAAGATCGATTTAACAAAGAGTCATACATACCGATATAAAAATAGCTCTATGTATCAAATCTGTTTGATTCCGAAGCTGATCTTAGCGCAGTGGAAGCAAATTAAAGTTATCTTAAAATCTAAAACTAAATGGTCGATCAGCCTCGGAACAACATTTGACTACGATTCGTAGTGCTCTTTACTATAGCTAAATAAAATAAATTTAATGAGAGAATTCTGCTCCGGAAAGTTTCCGGCCGAGAAATTCTTGTTTCCAAAATCTACTTAAACAGGGCCCAGCAACGAATTGCTTACCGAGCGAACGATGACGCCGTCGTTTCCTTGTAAGTCTAGTTTTTGACAGGAAAAATAGGTATCAGGTTTGAGGAAGACTTTTGGATTGGGACTTAGGTACTAGACTTACTGCACCCGGGCACCAGCTCGTGTGGCACTCCGTCCCTCCGACAGTTTTGGCTTCACCTCAGTTCATCACTCCACCATTCACCAGTTCACAGTTCGACATCAACAATGTTTTCAACACAAAAACAACTAAAAATTCCTCTCCGAATGAGGAATCGGCCCCGTTGGCCCCCAATCAAGAAAACAATCAAAAAATATATGGCTATCGGCAGCCGCGACGCGAGCGACGACTCAAAGTGAGGTTATGTTACCGGCGACTACGTTGGCCTCAATCAAAAAGCCGGAACCAAAAATCACTTGGTTCACTTCCCCACCGAACAGGGAAAACCACACGAGAAAACCGAAAGCACACTAAATTACTTATTTATAATTAAACTTCGCATCCACGATGCGGGCGACGGCAGAGGACGTGACAAGATGACAGAGCAGTGTTGCCAGCGCCGTCTGCTAAAAAAGAAATGGGTCGAGACGCAAATCGCACCGCGCGCCCATTTGATACGAAACTAAACATTCACCCGCCCCGGACCGACCCATCGGTCCGCTCTATGCATGGCAGGCGTGATAATGTAGCTACTGCTCGCTTAAGGACTGAATCCCCCACCTGAACTTCTGCAACTCGAGGAGTGCCATCACTACCCGGAAACAGGTTGAGAATGCGCCCCCGGCGCCAACGCAGTGGCGGTAGGTTGGTATCCTTAACCAGAACGAGATCCCCAATGCAGGGGGGTTCAGTCCTGTCCGTCCACTTAAGGCGTTGCTGCAGAATGTGCAAGTACTCAAGCGACCAACGCTTCCAAAAGTTTTGAGTCATTTGCTGCAACAACTGATAACGCGACAAACGATTGCTATTCACCTCCGTATAGGGATATTCCGGCAAGGCGTTAAGTGGGCGGCCAATTAAGAAATGCCCTGGCGTCAGGGCCTCTAAATCATTTGGGTCTGAGCTGAGCGGACACAAAGGACGCGAATTGAGTACAGCCTCAATTTTACAAAACACGGTCGCCAGCTCCTCGAAAGTCAAAATTGTTAACCCTACAACGCGCAACAAATGCGTCTTAGCGGACTTTA